TATAATTGAGAGTTTTAATTTAAAAGTCAATTTAAACATTCAAATGTCTCAATAGAAAAAAGCAACCAAAAGTTTATCTTGAACATTAGAGAACTTGTTATGAGTTGAAATCCGTCCATTGTTGTACGTTACATTACATCCTTCAAAACAAAAGGCACGAAAGCCACGAGGAATAGTTTTCTTTTCTTTCCCGATGTCACAAGCAATGGTTGATACATAAATAATTTTTTTTATGCCAAACAAACAGGGCCTAAGAGACGTTACTTCGCGGCTGCATCCGCGACGGCGGTGGTAGGACACGAGGCCACCAATACCATCCCATTCATTTCAGCCGACAATGGGAAACTAGGTTTCGCAGAAACTAATCATGCACTGGACCCCCCACTCCATTACATGTTATATAAGCACATGACGTCGGGCCAGGTGGCTCGCCTTGGGCTGCATTGGCGGGCGATTCCAAGTCATGGTCAACGTTCACAACCAATTACTGCTTCTTACCTGTTTGGTCGGCTCGTGGAGTCACGGAACACCCTTTATCTTCCATATCATCATCATTATCACAATATTGTAGGTTAAATATTTTTCTTATTATAAGTGGAGTCAGTCAATTATTATCGATCATTTTTAGTTGTCACACATTGTTGGTGTTTACATTTTGAGTAAAAAATATAAAGGATGAAAATTTTAGACTAAAACTTAAAACTAATAATATGACATATATTGATATAAGAATTAATTATTAATTAAATAATATAAGATTTATATTTTAATATTTTAAATGAATTGAAACATACCATATCATTGATCATAAATTTTAGTCTTATAAAATTTGTCTCTTTTATTATTAAGAGATTAATTGATACACCCTTTAATTTAAGGATCGCGATTCATGCACACTCCGGTTCAACACCGGAGGTGCACACATCACTTAACCACATAATTTTAAACAGAAAATTACAAATTTATCTCTTTTTTTTTCTTTTTCTTTTTTTTTTTCGTCCGGGTTCTCGACAGAACCCAGACTTGGGTTTTTCTCGGAGAACCCAGGTCTGGGTTCTCTAGAGAACCCATCGGAGAACCCAGATGGGTTCTCCGAGAAGAACCTCGGGTTCTTGAGAACCCAGATCGGGTTCTCCGAGAACCCACTCTGGGTTCTCCGAGAAGAACCCACTCTGGGTTCTCCAGGAAAGCCCAGTCTGGGTTCTTCCCGGAGAACCCGATCTGGGTTCTCTCCGGAGAACCCAAACTCCTTTTTTTTTTTTTCTCTCTGGCCGCTCGAAGCACCGAATCAAATTCATAGAAAAGTCAAAAATTGGACAAGGAATAAGAAACAACAACAGAAAAAGGAAATTGCAGTGGAAATTGAATGGAGTGACGATCTTTCATCATACCAGAACAATGCATCCACCGAGACCCATCCCCTCAAAGATTTGGTGAAACGCCCCCAATGAAACCTAC